TATAACATGGTGCTTTTAAGTTATATTAATTAAGCTATTTATATTAATATTTAATTAATAATTATATCATTAATTATTTAATTAAGTTAAATTATATAATTAATTTATGCACTAATTATAATATTAATTATTTAATTAATTACTTAATTATTACTTTTTTAAATTATATTAATTAAGTTAATCAATAATAACTTAGAGGGGTCTAGGGTTTGCCTTTCATGTTTTATTTTCGTCGTTGCTGTTCGGTTCGTTGCTTCGCAGTGCGAAGGTGTAGAGATTGCACGGGTCGCGACTTCGGCTCGTGGCTGTTCGACTTCGCTCCTTCGGCAACTTTCCCTTCCTGTCGGATCGCAAGTTACGACATTTTGATCAACGGGAGCTCGCTGGCTGTGAAGGTTCTCCCTTTCGCGCGCTCGGCCAAATACCATAAATCCGCCGAACTGAGGGATTCGCCGGGATTTAACGCGCGCAAAAAAACCGTTTGGCTGGATTTAGCTTAAATCCGACTTAAATCCCGCTGTAAATCCGATACCAAACAGCCCCTAAAACACCAAATTTTTTACCGAACATAAAAAGGAGAGAGAGGGAGAGGGAACGGGAGCGCTGGGGTTGCTGTTTACATGGCGACCTCGCAGTCCCAGGCGGTGAAATGCCTCAATACCTCGACAAACGGTCGGCGTTTTGTGGTATGCACGATTAGAACCCTAGTTTCCTTTCTCTCGTTCTCAACCATGCATTCTTCGACAAATTCTGATACCGATACCCTCGTTTTGGTTCCTATCGCTGCTTGCAGTTCAAGACTTTTTCTCAGCGAGTGGAGGAAATTGATATCGATGTATTCCGTAGCCTGGAACACGTTGGGTCCGAACCCAAGGATGGCTCTTCCTTCTTCCGGGAGGCTTTATTATACTGGAGAGTAAGTTCGTTCCAATTCTCATTCTATTTCCCTGCTGAATTCTAGTTGTTGAGAGGTGGAACTAACCTGCTGATACTTTTGAATTTCAGGAGCTTAACACAGCAGAGGACTTTATATCATTTTATGACGAGATGATGCCATTAGTCCAAACTTTGCCTCAGATAATACTGCAGAAAGAGTTAATATTCTCGGAACTTGTTGGGAGATTGCAAATGGGAGCAAAGCTGTCTCTCGAACCAATCCTAATGCAAGTACTGCTCACATAATCCTGTCAGTTGTGTTGACTGCATATTTTTGTTTAGGCCGATAAGTTTGGGGCTGAGTTTTACATTTTAGCTTGAGTGCCTAGGTGCAAGTTAGGTTTTTGGTTTGAGAGTCTCTCCAACACTTGGCCAAATTGATGCAGGCTGACCTACAGTTAGAATCACACCAACCCAAGCTAGGGCAGGCTTGTCTGTGCCAACCCCATCCATCTTAGGATCGATCATGTTTCATGGATTAAATTTGTATTCAGGTTCCAATTCGTTTTATTTGTCTATACATAGGAGCTCTTGTAAACTATATTTTCAATTCAATTTAAGTTAAATTCATGTTATTATATTTTTCTATATCTCTCTCGCTTTATCCGTCCCTTTGATTCACCTCCTCTCTCTAGAAACTACTCGGCCATGCTATTAGTCATGGTAATCTTATATCTCTCCCTCCCTTTAATTCACCTCCACTCTCTAAAAATTATTCGGCCATGCTATTAGTCATGGTAATCTTATCTAAATTGAAACCTTATCCCATCTCTCTTCCCCAACCCTCTCATACCTCTTTCCCCCTAAGGAGTGGAAACCAAGTTTATTAACCTTTTTCATTAGTCTAGCTCCAATGGGGAGGACTTTAAGGTTTGTTAACTGAAAACCATGCTACTCAACTAATATACTACGATAAGCACACAAACAATTGAAAATACCTAACATAGACTATCAAAAATACATATTAGACTCACTAAATATCACCCAAATTCAAAGAAGGACATGATATAATTAATTGGATTTTTTTGTTGCGTTAAATTTAGATTTTTGCATCAATTTCCTTGGCGTGGAAATTGCCTCTATAGATGTTTCTGCTAATGTTTCAACTACTTGTTAGGGTATATGTGTTGTTTAGTTTTATCAAAGTACCAAACACCTTTAAACTAATAATGACAATGCACCCTCAAATGAATACTATTGCTTAATGCCTAAGGTTTTGAATTGTTAAGCATATATGGCATTTGCTTGGGCAATGTGGGCCAGTAAAAGAAACATATTTATCTTTAATAAATTTGTTTTATTTGTAAGGAATCAGTTTGAAGAGAATAGAGACATAAATAAGTCATCATATGAAATTATGTTGGACTACATGGTGAATCTTTTGGTTATATTGCATGAAAAAGTTGAATAATTTAGGCAAATGGTTTATCTAATGTGCACACAATTAAGCTGTTGAAGCTTGTATCACGTATAGCGCATGGATAATCTGATATTCAATTTATCCATCATCCGTGCTCTTCTTTCTACTACTACATTTATAACCCTCCATTTGTTTATTTATATCACCAGACTCTTCTTCATTATTCTTAAGATTAATTAGTACTTAAAGATATGCATATATGTTTGATCCAGCATGTTTCAAAGAGTGCTTCATTGTTTCTCCGGCTATCTATGTTCTTTTCATGTCATCTCATCTCAAGTTATCATAAAAAAATAACAAATTTGTCTTCAAAATTGGAAGTGTTAGCATCAACTTATTAATGCTCCTTATTACCCAATAGGGGTAAGAATGATTTGATTTCGAGCTGATCCTGATATTTGATCAAACTTATATAAACCCGCATGAAATCGACTTGTTACTTGAATCGATTTAAGTTCAAGTTGGCTCGGCTCAAATTTGCTCGATTTCGAGCTGGTTTGATTATGAATCGAGCTAGCTTGAATTTATTTATTTTTTATTTTTTTGAGAATAAAAGTATATATATATTATTTCTATTTCAAGTTGATTGCAAGCCAGCTTGATTTAATTAAAGTCCATCTTGAAATCGACTTCAAATTCGTCCGAGCCACAAATTTGGCTCCTGACTTAGCTTTTTTGGCTTGGCCTTAACCCAAAATCAAATTAATTATCAAGGCATCTTCGAGTTAAACTCTTAACCCTATTACCCGATGGCTCAGGTGAAGGGGAACACCTAGGCACACCTTATTAATGATGATTTCATGACGGATTTGTGAGGCATTATGGCCTCACCTAGCCACTGCCTAAGCGAGCATCCTACTCATCTTCAACTGCATTGGGTATTATAGATGTTAGAACTGCACCCGTGAATCCTTAGTTGAAAGCCTTCTCTTCCATTTAACAAGATATCTTGAGTACCCTCTAGCGTTGTTTGAATATTTCTTATGTATGTGGGGCCAAGCAATAGATCACAAAGTTAGTTAGCTGAGTTGTTTATGGTATAAAACCAAAGTAACTTTAAGATCATAAATATCTAAGCTGTTTATGGTATACTCAACGACAATTTTCTTTAAAGAATATTATGGTATAATCAACAACAATTTTATTTAAAGAATATTAAAAAAATATTTTTGAAAGTAAGATATTAGATTTTAAGATTTTGTTTGTGCATGAGAAAGCTATTGATATATGGGAAAGTAGCTAGTGATATTAAGAATGTTGCTAAAGACGTGCTTGGAGAATCAAAGAGAAAAGTTACTAATAGTAAAAATAGTTGGTGGTTAAATTAAAATGTGTAAGAAAAGATAAAAAATTAGAATATTTGCTAGAAAAATTGGTTTAGATGTAAAAATTCTGAGAGTTTAGAAAGACATAAAGAGGTTCGTAAGGAGTTTAAGAAAGTAATATGCGATGCAAAGATTTTAGCTTTTAATGATTTAGATAATATATTAAATACTAAGGATAGCGAAATATATATGTATAAGTTAGTAAAACAAAGAGATAAGAGTAGTAAGAATTTAGTTCAAGTGAAGTGTATTAAAGATGAATTAAAAAAATACTTTTATTAGAAGAGGATATTCAACAAAGGTGGATGAGTTTTTTTTTCCTAAATTTTTCGATGAAGATTATGAGAATATGATTGACTTTAGTGATCTTAGCATCCTAAATGAAAATAAAGATTTTTTTTTATTGACGTCTTAGTAAAACCAAAGTTAGAGAGGCTTTAAAGAAAATGAACTGTGGAAAAGTTTTTGGGCCTAATCATATTCCGATAGAGATGTGAAAATGCTTAAGAGATGAATGAATTTCTTGGCTTACTAAACTTTTTAATATTATTTTGAAGAATAAAAAGATGCCAGATGAGTGAAGAATGAGTGTGTTGATTCTTATTTTTAAGAATAAAGGTGATGCCCAAGATTGTGCGAATTATAGAGAAATTAAGTTAATGTGTCATATTTTAAAATTATGAGAGAGAGTTATGGAGCATAGGTTCCGGCATGATACTAATGTTTTTCAAAATCAATTTGGATTCATGCTGGGTAGGTCTACTATGGAAGCAATACATTTATTAAGACGTTTGATGGAGAAGCATTGTAATATTCCGTACTCGAGATCTCGTCACATGAATAAACCAAAGGTGGTGAGGAAGATTGAAAGGCAAAGGAGGCGGAAGTGATTGTTTCATAGCTTGGAGCCATAGGAATCTAAAGGTGTAGGAGTTGAAGAAGGAATCATCTGTCGAATACGAAGCGCATATGTGGCTTTGTGTCACCTAGAAATCGATGAAGTTGAGGAAATCAAAGGACATCGGGAAGACGAAGAAGACATTCGGTGTTGCAGAAGCTGAATGATCCAAATTGCGTGAAGATGAAGAGACCACTCCTGTCTTTTGGTGTCGTGGATGCCGAAGGGTTAGGGTTGATTTCGTCGTTTGGTGACATCGTTGGCTTTGTTTCTACAACTTGGAGAAGAAGGGGAGGAGTGAGACCGAGTGAGCTTGAGAGAGAGAGGAAACAAGCTTGACGAGTAGGGCAAGCGGAAGTCACGTATAAGGGAAGAAGGTAAGGATGTTTTTGTGAAAGGAAGATTAATTTTCTTAGAAAAGAATTTAATTATAGTTCAATTTATAGATATAATTGTTGTATATTTTAAGACTTTATTGGGATTGATTATTGATTGTAGAAAAAGATAATAATGAGAAACATTTTAAAAAAATATAAATTATGAGATATAGAGAGGATATTTAGATTTAGTGGAACTTAGCAGTTGACAAATTTAATAACAATATCATATAATTAATTAAAATGTATTAAATTTAAATTTAAATTTTGAGATGTTATGCCTACATAAATCAAAATTAAATTTAACATGATATTAGCTAATTGGAAATAAGGATAATTATATTTTGGGTTAATTATTAAAATATTTAATGATATAAATATGTATGTATAAGTGCAAATTCATTATATAAATTTAAATATATTAATATGAGATTATAAGAGCGAAGATTATATATTTTAGAAAATAATAATAATTAGATTATTATTTTTTATCCATTTTAAATGATAGAGAGAATTAGATGGGGGCATTTAAAGAATATTAACAAAAAGATTTTTGCGAGTGAGATTCTAGAACTTCAGATTTTTTCTGTGCATAAGGAAGTTAATATTATGTGGGAAAAAGTAACTAGTGATATTAAGAATGTTGTAAAGATGTCCTTGAAGTATCAAAGAGAAAAGCTACTAATAGTAAAAATAGTTGGGGGTGGAATTAAAATCTGCAAGAAAATATAAAAAATTAGAAGATTTGTTAAAAAAATTGGTTTAACTGTAAAAACTCTGATAATTAAGAAATATATGAAGATGCCCATAAAGAGTCTAAGTAAACAATTTGTAATGCAAATATTTTGGCTTTTAATGATTTATATAATAGAGTAGATACTAAGGAGGGCGAAAGATATATGTATAAGTTAGCTAAACAAAGAGATATGAGTAGTAAGGATTTAATTCAAGTGAAATGTATTAAAGATGAAGATAAAAAAGTGTTTTTATTAGAAAAAGGATTTAGTTCTTGTGTGACCTCCTATGTAGCTTGGCGTGCTTCCATGCATTCTGTGCAATTTTCATGCCTGTTACATACAACCTGGTTTGCAAAGCCCAATGTGGGAGTTGCCGCCTGGATTAATTGAACATAGGCAAAACTAGTCATTGCTTTATATTTTCACTTTTCACTTTTCACATGCAAATTATTTCTTTTATGAGTTAAAATTTCTAGTTCAGACGAGGGTATAGCAGCCTCTTTTTTTGGTTGAATTTGGTTAGTTGTTTATTGCATTTGATGGCATATTTCAAATTTATTTCATGTGCTAAGCCTCGTTCATGGTATCAACCTCATAATAGCAAAGCCATTGCCTTTTCTTCTTTTTGTATATTGTGAGAATTTCGTTTACCATGTCCGCTTTTCTAGTTTGATCTCTACTTTATACTAAATAAATTTGTTAGTAAAGTGTGAGAGCTGATCCTGCTAAAATCTCTTATTATACTTGCAGGTTGATTGTTGCTTTTTCAAGGGATGTCCTTGAAGAATTTTTGCCGTAAGTTTCTGTGTATGGGATTTTGAGATTTTCCCTCCAATCTGGCTTTCTATTCATATAGCTCTACATGTGTTTTTAAGTATTCCTATTTTTCTTTATGACTCTTAAACATCTAAATTCTAGTGCTGGGTGCAATTACTTAGTCATTTAACCTATCATTTACTTTCAGAACATGTATGACGTATATTTTGTAACAACTATGTACTAAAATATTGGCAGACCTTTATGCTTGTGACAGTTTTTTGGAAAGGTTTGCTAGCTCTTTAACCAATCTTCTTTCTAGCGGAGGAGATCGTGATCCTGAAGTCCTTGAGCAGGTTTTTTTGCTAACCTGTTGCATTTATAATGAAACTTAATGACATCAAATGTGCGTTCAATTATAAGTGGTTTTCTTATTGCAGGTCTTCACGGCTTGGTCGTATATCGTTATGTATTTGCAAAAGAATCTTGTAAAGGATGTTGTCAACTTCCTGAAGTAAGTACACTTCTCTTGCTAGAATTGAAAAGAAATTGATGAAAGATACCAATCTAGCATACAATCCATGCACTTAATCAAAATATAGACCGGTGTTTGCATTGAACAAATTAAACATGATGGTATATATATATTTAATGGTCTCACATCATTTAATTTCGCTTTAACAGAATTACAGCCCAACTAAGGTACTATCCAAAGGATTATGTCCAAGAATTTATGGCTGAGGTTGTTTCATTTTTGTTACGGAATGCTCCTTTAAATCAACTTAAAAATGGTAATGTGAACCACTTTAGTGTATCTTCATTGATTTTTTGAGGAAGTGACTGATTGGCTTTTTATTCATATTTTCAGGGATCAGAAAAATAATAATGGACGTGGTGAAAGGTTCATCCGCTGCAAAGAAACTTGGGGCTGCGGCTTTATTATGGCATGTTTTGAGCAGAACCTCCTCACGACTTCATTCAAAAGCGAGGCAAGTTTTGCTATTGTTAATGGAAGAATCTGTTCTAAGCGCGAGAGATATTCCTCAAGGTTAGCGTTTCTTTTTTTAAACATTTTAAGTTCTTTCCTTCTTGAATATAAGCATTTTTTGATGAATTAATTGAGTTAAAGTGGTTTGAATTTCTAGTCTTTTTTCAAAGTTACACAAACCAGCATATTATGGTGATGTGAAACCAACATGCACAGGAGCTCATTAATGAACTTAAGAATAAATTGGCAATGTAATTCCACTCAATAGCTTATTGCAATAACAAGGAAATTCAATAAAGAACCTTAGTTTTCCACTTGCTTAGGCGAAGGAGCACATGTAGATTAACCAAATCTTGTAGATAAACAAAAATAGTAGCAATACGAAGAGCTATTAACTAACAATCCACAATTTAATAATGAGAGTTTCACCTCGGAGATTGATCACTCAACTACACTAAGCTTTGGCGAGAGAAGATTATCCACATTAGAATCGAGGTCACTCCGAGGAAGAAGGAACCTAGGATCGTCGTTCTTGGATAGGTGGTCTGAGTGGTGGAGGATGATTGTCGTCCAATGATGATCCAACGTCCCTTTGACCTTTGCTCGTCGATCACGTCAACTAAGGTGTAATGGATACGGTCGAAGTATTCTTCAATGGTGTCATCGAAATCAAAGCCCACGTCAAAGAATGGTGATTGGATGATGTCGACTTGATCTCGATCGTCATGCACAAATTCAAAGTTCCATTCGGGTTCCGCCATGCATTCTCGCCAAGGGTTGAAGGAGTACCCAAGGGGAAAGGAGGTGGAAGGACGTCGTCTTCTTCTTCTCCTGGCTTCCAAATTCACAAGGGATGGAGAAATGAGAGGGGCGGCCAAGGTAGAGAGAGAGGGGGCGGGTGGCTTGGGTGAAGGGATTTAGGTTAGATGAGGGGAGAATGAGGTTTACTCAAATCTGAAATTAATTTCAGATTTTGAGTAAATTTGGAGGGAAACAATTTGAAATTGATTTCAAATTTCAAATAGAATTAAGGAGGATTAATGGGCATTTAATGAAGCCCATCAAGAGGGGGGCCGGCGGGTCCAATAGAGAGAGGGAGGGGATTTTTTCAAAACCTGAAATTAATTTCAGGTTTTGAATGAAATAGGGGAAAGATTAATTTGAAATTGATTTCAAATTCATGTGTAATCAAGGCATTAATTGGTGGCTTGAATGGGGCTCCATTCAAGGTTAGGCCGGCGGCATGGAGAGAGGGGAGGGGGATTAGAGATTGATCATTTACCTTCCCATCATGTTGATGCCACATAGGATAAAAAAATAATAATTCCACATGTCATGAAATTTGGATTGGATCAAATTCAAAACTTTCCTTTTTTGGAATTTTGCAAATATGGAAAGTTTTTGAATTTCGAATTTTGAAATTCAAAAATCGGTAACTCCTTTATTTATTGCTAGGCCACAATCAAGGAGCCATTACGATGATTGACATCTTCATCATGGCTTGGGGCAAGGTAGTGGCCGGCGGCCAAAGGAGGAAGAGGGTGCTTGCCGTTGGGTTTGAGGATTTCTTAATGGAGCTTGGGTTGTAGTGGAGAAAGCTAGTGGGTAAAGCGGTGGATGATTGGATCTCGGGTAGGGCTTGGCGTGGGGAGGAGGAAAAGAAGAAAACAATAAGACAAAATAAACCATGAATCGAGGACGCTTCCAACGACTGGCGGGTATTGCTTTTGCCCTCACTTTGGGCTTTTCCTAGAACTCACACAGAGATCTAGGAAAGTTGAAATCACTAAGAGATCAAGAAAATATGAACTCACAAAGAGAACACAAAGAGAAGAATTTCATTTTCAATAATCATCATCCCCTCATACAATGCATGAGACCTCATATAAATAGGCCAAAATGAAACAAAACTAAAAGACATAAATGCCCTCGGGGCTACAATATCAAATGACCACCTCACCACCCATAAGGGTAAAACCGTAAAACTGACTCAAAATAAAACTCCTGATCGTGGCCGTCGATCTCCGGTGTCTCCGATCGTACACGTGTCGAAATCGCTGACGATGTCCTCATCATATGGTGTATTTAGTCTGTTAAACACAAAAATGGCAAAAATATGTGATTAATTTTGAGTGATAGATTCAGAACTATTGAATTATTTTGTGGTAGTTTTGTTTTGTTTATGTTATTGATGGAACTATGGGCGGGCCAAAACACTAAGATCCAGTTGATATTGAGGGTGCACTCGTTGCTCTGATTTCATTTGGACTTTATATATATATATATATATACATTTTCCTACTACGGCTTCATGAGCGGAACATTCTCACGTTTGCACTCAAAAGCAAGTTTTGCTATATTGTTAATAGAAGAATCTGTCCTTCATGTAGGATATATTTCTCAAGGTTAGCTTTTGTTTCTTAAACATTTTAAATATCTTTTTACCATTTGAATTATCAGCTGTAAGTGTCTTTTTGATGAATTAATTAAGTACAGTAATATTCATTTCTGTGTTTTCATGAGAGTCATACAAACCAGTACACAGGAAATGGCAAAAATATATGATTAATTTTTTGGGGAGTTATGAAACTGATAAAGTATACTAAAAATTGATAGGTGTAGAATTAATGAATTATTTGGTGGTAGTTTAGTTTTCTTTCCATCGTTGATGGAACTATGGGTGAGCCAACGAACGAAGATCTAGTTGATATTGAGTGATGCGATACCACCAGGAGTTAACGATAAGTTAATAAGAGCAATTGTCTAAAGCTTTCCCATATAAATTTATCGTTCACAACAAAGAAAGATTTTATAAATTCGTAGTTTTCAACTTGCTTAGGCAAAGAAGTACAATTTAGATTAACCATAACAATTCAATCATACTCTAAAGACATGAGTAAAGTTATGAGCGCAATAATAAAATCCACAATTTAATAATTAGAGGTTTCACCTTGAGGACCTCCTCACTCATTCACTCGTGGGGTTAGCGGAAGAAGATACTCCATACTAGAAGAGAGATCACCACTTGGAAGAAGAAGCCTATGATCTTGGTTGATGGAAAGGTTGCCGACGACGGTTGGATTTGTGGGCGTCCCACAATCGACCATGATCCGATTGGGAGGTGTTCCTCAATTGCAGGTGCCAATGTGAATGTGATGCGGTCAATGTAACCTTCCACGGAGTCGTCGACGTTCAAGTTCAAATTGAAGAAGGTAGATCGAGGAATGTTCGTTCTTCCTTGATTATCATATACGAACCCTAGATCAACATCGGGATCGGCCATTCATGAGCAAAGGTGAAGAAAGGTTGAGTTCTTCTTTTCTCAAGAGATACAACTCATGAGAAAAGCAAACTCAAGAGAGAAGGGGGAGGAGTGGCGGTCGGCTGAGGAGGAGGGGAAGTTGTTGGGCTAAGTTAGGGTTAGGGTGGTGTATGGGATGAATTAAAAAGTCTGAAATTCTATTTCAGATTTCAAAAGGGTGGAGGGAAATAATTTGAAACTCAAAATTATTTCCAATTGATGCCTATAGGGAGGCAGGCCGCATGTGGGGAGTGGGGGAGGGGAATTGGGAGGGAAAGCCAAGTTTCCAAGTTTACAAACTTAAATTAGGGAAGAATAAAATAAATCAATCTAATTAAATTTTAATTAGACTTAATTTTAGGAAGTTTCCTAATTTGAAACAGCTAATTTGTGAAATTATTTGAAATTCGAATTTGAATTTCAAATTGAATTAAAATCTCTCCCACATTAAGTAGGCTAATTAAGGCAATAGTTAATGATGATTAAAATCATCATCAAGAAGACAATGGTGAGGTGGCCGACGGTGGAGCAAGGGGATGGGGGGAATTGGTGGTATGAAAGTTGATCAATTGGTGGGGGGAGGGGCCGGCGGGCTAGAGGGTGGGTGGCCAACGGGGGGTGGGGATCCACGAATTGAGCACTTTCCTAATATGGATTATGTCAATTTAGAAAATAATTCAAAATATGAATTTGAAATCATATTTTGAATTGGAGTTCCCTCCTAATCTTCATTCTCCCCTTTTGGAAAGAGGCAAGATAACCAATTTTGGATCCATGGGAGGGGAAGGCCGGCGGCTAGGGTTTGGGGTTTGGGTGGCGTTTGGCTAAGGAGGAAGGGGTGTGAGTTAAGTGGAAGGGATCTTGTTGAGGTTGACCGGCGACTTGAGGACTTGAAATGGCCGGCGGTTGTTTGGAGAAGAAGAGGTGGTCGGATGTAGGGGAAAGGAAGAAACGATAAGAAAATACTACGAGTACTAACCTCGAGTCCCATAATCTACCGACGGTTGATAGGTGATGCGTGGCCCTCTCCTAGGGTTTCTCCTCTCAAGAACTCACAAAGAGATCAAGAACAAGAAAGCTGAATTTTCATTAATAATTATTCATCGTCCCATTACAATAGAAGAGGTCACAATATGTAGGCCTAGAAAATAAAATGATAATGGCTCAAATACCCCTTGGGCCACAACTCAAGCAAACTCAAAAGAAATGATACAATCATAAATAGCAAATAGATAAACTACAATACATAAATGCATCAAAAATAAAGACTGTGAATCATAGTCATTGATCTATGATTCTTACGCTGATAGATTTGTCGATAACGTCTGTCGAGGGTGTACTATTTGACCTGCAGTGATTAGGACTTTATAGGGAAAATGACCAAAATGGTCCCTTGACTCTTATGAAAAATCAAACTAGGTCCGAACGTTTTTTTAGGATCATTTTGGTTCCTCAAGTCTTTAGAGAGGAATTAAAATAGTCTCAACATGAGACTATTTTGATTCATCTTTAAAGACTTGTTGGATCATAATTGTCCTTTAATATAGTTGAGATCATTTTGATCCTTCATAAAAAATCAATGGACCATTTTGATCATTTTCTCGAACTTTATATGTATGTTTATATACCCTTTTTGTATAATTTTCTTCTTTTCCAGGCTTGTGCTATATTCAGTAGATGTTTCAATTGCTCACCTTGGCTTCCCTTTTACAGGTTCAGAAGCTGTACTTGATGTTGTAAATAGTATTTTGCATAGATTCTTTGAAGAGATAGATCACACAGAGCAGAAGGTTGTATTTGAATGCTTATTTGAGAGTATATATTGTAGCATAAAGAAGGGTTGCTTGGCTCACTTAGTTCAGTTACTGACCCTCCTAACGACTGCTGTTCGTCTTAGCAAGGGTGGCAAATGCTTTGGTGAGATGTACATTCTTTCCCACTAAATTATATTTTTCTGAATGTTGCTATATTTATTTTGTTGATTTTATTTTTGGGGATGTTTGGTGGGTATTTTTTATCTTTATTTCAGGAAGCTGATATTCTGATTATGTGCCATTCTTCTCTATTTTCTTAGATGGAGACAAAATGATAGAGCTTATTAGATTGCTCATGCATTCCTGCATTGTTTCTGCGGAAATCATTAACTCAAGAGACTGTTCTTCTGAGGCTGCAGTGCCTGTCGTTTCTAATAAGATTTTGCAGTTAGTGCTTTGTCTGCTGGACATGCCTCAAAAAAGTTCTTATATATACATAACAATGGAAATAGTCCCAGCATTTAAGTTGGAACATTCAAGGTATTGGCGGATGGTTAGTTTTTGTTTATGCAGAGCTTTGAAGTTGCTGAAAATATTTCTTGCAAGTATTTTATTGTGCACTCATGTTTGAAACATTTATTCTTGCATTTTTTGCAGTTTGCTTATGTTTGTTAAAGGACTCGTTCATAAGGATCCTGAAGTTGTACTTGCCTGCAGAACTTATATAGTCAGGTAGCTTCTGTCAATCTGTTGTTCTATAATATCATGAGCATAAAGCAGTCATATAAGTGGCATTTATTTGCTTCATCTACAGTACCATTGATGAAATGATTGAGACCTCACCAGATGAAGTCCTTGTATTGATACTGGAATTTTTTGAGAGACAATCCAGTAATATTCTTGATGGAATTCCACGGAGGACATGCAAATTCTTTATTGAGACATTAAATTATTGGGCTAACCTATTAAGTGACATTTCAACTATCAACAGTGTCTCAGATCTTTCGTCCAAGTTAGCTGTTTTATGGGGAGTTATAAGATGCTACCCATCTTTTGAATGTACAGGGGGAAGTCCATTGCTAATCAGGAATTTGATTGGAATTCTTGATCAACTCTTGGAAGTCAATGCTGGTATGCCATGTTTTGGGTTGTTACACATTTGCTTCGGGATTTTTCCTGTGGAGTTAACTTTGTGAATTTTCCTCAGATAGCATTGCAGGTGTTCCAATGTCCGTTTGGCAAGATCTACTTGGTGCTACTTTGAATTCTTATCATAAGCTGTTATTGCATGAGAGTAGCGGGCCTTCAGAAGCATACATTTTTCTGCATATGGCTAAAAAACACAAATCATCTCCCAGAATTTTGTCTGCTGTAGCTGAATATTTGGAAACTTTCTTATGGTGTAATACCATTGCTTCTTCATATTCTTGTTTTGACTTTTTGAATATTAGTGCTTTGTTAGCTGAAGATATACTTAATGACAGGTCAAAAGATGATGCTGGTGTCTCCCAGCGTATGTTCGCTGAAGTTGACGTTGAAGATGCTCAGGATTCAATCAGGATTTTTGCAGATAACTTAAGCCTACCTAATAAGGAAATTCGAATATCAACCCTAAGAATTGTTTCTCATTATAATTTTCCGGTTGAGCCTCCTACAAGTGAAGATCGGCCTCTCAAGAAAGTTAAATACGAGGAATCTGACTCAGCTAAAGTTTTTGAATGCATAAATGTATGTTTTTGACTGATTTTTGTTATCAATCTCTGAAGTAATTGCTTGGATTTTTTGAATTTAATGTTTGGTCTACCAGGTCGTTGATCTTCTACTTTCAATCGAAGCAACTCCAATTTCTGTGTTGACAAGTCGAAAGGTTGCCGTCTTAATCTCCAGATTACAGATGGTCGTTGCATCTGGAAAGCTACATGATGATTATGTTCCTCTAATATTTAATGGGGTTATTGGCATCTTACATAATAGATTTTCTCTTCTCTGGGATCCTGCTTTGGAATGTCTTACTACTTTAATTAGAAGATATAGTAGAATTGTTTGGAATCAATTTGTCCAGCATCTTGAATATTACCAACTGAAGTCTCTGTCCGGTAACAACGCTGCGACTAAATTGAATTCTGAAACTCCTCAACCAAAGAGTATACCCTCATGCTATGCACTAAGTCAGTTATTATCATTATTATTTACATTTTGTCCTCTGCAATGCTTTATGGAAGCTTCATACATAATTAATTAAGTTCGTTTCTTTTGCCTGGCATTTTAGATGCTTGTTTCTTTTCTGGGCTTCTATCCCACTGACCCTATGGATTTTTCTGCCATGATAATTATTCTCTTGTTCATGGAAGGGTTCGTTTTATTTTGTGTTAATCTTTGACAACAACAACAACATCAAACCTTTTATCTCCCATTAAGTGTGATCAGCTACATGAATCATTGTGTTAATTTCTGACGGTGATAAAAAAATCTTTCATCATCTTGATATTTTCTATCCTGTGTAAACACTGCTTAGGTATTTTTTTTCTTTGCATTAATCTCATCATGAAATTTATTACGGATGTCAGTTAACACTAGCATGGTGTTATGCCGGTCCAGCCTGGACCGGCCCAACCTGGACCGGCCCAGCCG